GGGGGAACATGTGGATTCGTTGAGGAGAATTTTAAAAGAAGTGAGAGAATTAGTGAACTTCAACTCGTAGCAGATGCAGTAACCAAGATGCACAAGGTAGCCAGCCATCCATTCATATTTCAATGAGAATGAAAGGTTTAGGTTATGGAAAGCCTTCAGCCTTACGTGGTTTACAATTAGGAGGTCTTATTATAACCAAGATTAGCGATGTAACGCCAATGCCACATAACGGATGTCCACCGCTGGATCTGTTATCTTAGCGGGAATTCTCTTAAAATTGGAAACTTACGTGTATAGTACTATATACATAACGACCATGTGGCACAGACCTTCAAGTTGTGCCTATTTTTATTCGAACCGAAAGGGTCAAGGTTTAGGGTTTAGGGTTTAGGGTTTAGGGTTTAGAACTCTCCAGAGGGCTTGTGTGGGCAGACCAGGTCGGCATCCAGGTCCAGGCCCGCCACATAACTACCATTGTATTTCCACACATTGCCTTTGATAAATTTTGCCTGAATGCCCTTTTAATAGCTGAAGCTCAAAATGAGGGAAGTGCCACACAAGGGGCATATTACAAAGTTGCACACAGAGCTTTTGGATGTGACAGAGACGATTCAATCCTAACAAGCACAAATTCTATCCGCCAGGCACTGCAGAAACGACATGCTGGCGGTGGTGATGATAATAATGACAACAACAATGACACCAATGATGACAATCATGACAGTCATGATGACAATGGTGCCAATGATCATAATGTTGATGATGAGTGGAGGTACCGATGATGACAACGAGAATGGCGAAGTTGATGATGATGGTGACGATGATGATGATGATGATGATGACAACAAGAAAGGCGATGTCAATGACGATGATAATGCTGCTACTGCTGCTGCTGCTGCTGATGATGATGATGATGATGACGATGACAACGACGATGATGACGATGATGACGATGATAACAGTGATATTGACAATAAATGAATGATGGTCATGGTGATGGTGATGATGATGACGATGATGACACGACAGCAATGATTAGAAATTAGAATGACAAAAATGCGAAAAAATGATGACAACACTGACGACGAGGGCTACGTGATTATAACGATGAACTCATCATGCCGACGACGATGAGGATGAGGACGATGAGGATGATGACAAAGGTTTGTCTCTTCTCACCTGAGGGCTTGTGACCTAGATGCATGCACTGGCAGCAGGTGCAAGACTGTTCCATTCTTGCAGTAGACAACGTGTGTCCTCAAGCCTCTTGAACGTAACCATTTTCTCAGCTCATGGATCTCCACTGCCTGCAAATGGGCACAAGATTCCGGAGGATGGAGTCAAGAAACACATAAGGTAGAGCCACTTCTTTTAGCTCTCTGAGAAACACTTTGCAAAGCACTTATTTTCAACCCTTTGAGATGCAGCAGCACTGTGTGTGTGTGTGTGTGTGTGTGTGTGTGTGTGTGTGTGTGTGTGTGTGCTGTCTCTTATACACATCTAGATGTGTATAAGGGTACGACCTACTGCATTTTACAGGGAGTTCCAAATAAAAAGATATCCCTCCTTACTGCATGCAGTTTACAGGGAGTTCCAGAAAAAAAGATATCCCTCCTTTTTTTCCCCCTCCCTTTTTTTGTTGCTGTCACGCTCGTTAAACATTGAAACTTGAAAGCGACAAAAACAAATCAAAAAAAAACTTTCAACTTTTTTCAAAGGGGACACAATCCGACACATACTTCACATGCTGCCAACTTGAAGGGTTATCAGTGCTTCCCCTACGGCTTCGGGCCCCTTTTCAGGATCCATGACGATAACATTTGGCTTGTCTGCAAGCTTCCCATCCACCGACGTCAGACCAGAATGGATCAGGCCACTTTTCACAATGTTCGGGTACGCGTCTCCCACAAGCACAGTCTTGTGGAGGCCACCGGGGAGCTCGGGAAAGTCGGAATCGCCACCGTGGCCAGTTACGACGATCATGTTCGATTTATCATAACCCCAGCGCACACACAGATATCTGCAGGATGAAACAGCGTCGACAGCGCACAAACACAGAGAAATGTGAATGTGAGAAAACATTCAAAACAAGGCGCCTTGTACACACTGCACGTCACACCATGGGGATATATAGGCTGTTTTTTCCCGGCGCCCGGGCACCCGACTTGCGCCCGGATACACACCCAGCTACCCGGCCTGGTATGAAAAGTTGTGTCTAACGACTCTAATCGCAATACAGACGACTTCTAAAGGGTCTTAACCCCTGCAGTCCCTTGAAAACCAATTTATACCCCCCTTCCCCCCCCCCCCACCCCAATGACAGCTCGCACTCGAAAAAAAGAACCGAACCCAGATTTGGGCTCCTCTGGGCATGTGCAGAAAATCCCCATGGCCCCAAAAAACACAAAAAAAGACACCACTTATTCCCATGCCCAGGTTTCCGTGTGCCAGACCCCCCAGGCGACTTGCCCGGATGCCCGGCCCAGGCTGGACGGCCGGGTGACCCAAGTAGAGTAGGTGGGAATTTCTTCGGCCCGAAATCATATCCATGATAAACCATTGACTTTGATACATTTAACACGAGCGAACACGTAAGGGTATCTGTCATAGATTTTCTGACTTGCCGCTGCCGCTGGTGGAAAAGGAACCAGACCAACTGGCACCGCCAGGCAAACAAAAAAAGCGCCCTGCTCGTGTTTCCGGAGAAAAGCTTGGCGAGCAGGGGGAATCCGCCTTGGCAGAAAGAGGCTTGAAGGTAAC